GACTCATCTATCCTATCCGTTCACGTACAGACGCGCTTGACCTTCTGTATTGACCATACATAATGTCCACGTGCTTGTACTGCTACCGGTATACATAGCTGCTAAGTAAGCTATTTACTCCCTGCATATGTGCTTTCGTTGCACTCGTATGTAGCTGTTAGATTTGTATGGTAGGAAAAGTGTTACAAGTACGCCAAGAAAGCACGTGACTAGCGTTTTCTTTCTGGAACCACTTAACCGCGTGTCACTCATTGCGACAACGATCAGCATAAGATTGGGTAAGGAGTAAGTCGCCTACACCTGAGAAATGGCAACCCGCCCGTCACCGGTAAAGCGCCAGAAGTTGTTGTCATTTTCTAAACCCAATTCTCAGCGGAGTAAGCAGTCCTCAAGTAGGGGCTCACAAGAGGTAGAGGTGAATGCTGATCTGGATGTCGATAAACACTCCAACGATGACGATACGCTTGACACAGATACAAAGCTGGCAATACTGTCATCACTTTTTCCATCCGTATCACATGGAGATCTGTTGGAAGTCTTAATCTCATCATCTGGGTCTTTGGAAACAGCAGAGGCGGTTCTCCAAAGAGGGCCTTCCACTTATCCGGAGAAGCGAAAGAAGCCGATCTCAAGCGCCCAGTCATCTCTTACAGCTTTTCTGCCGCAGTCATCCTCGACCGGTACGGTTGGACCGCATTTACCCATTCCGAAACCACAGAAAGGGAAGCCTCTCTTACTATTTTCTCCGGGACATGTTTCGGCCCTGACACCATGCACATTAATAACGTCATTCCTACCGCCGGAACTCGCGAATCAGCTATTGCGGGAACTCGTTCACGAAGCAGAGAGTTTCCCGGAGAAAGGCAGCAAAGAGACTAGATTCTACTTGTTCGGAGGGGAAAAAGAGATCTGGTCAGAGCATACCAGTGGTTTTTTCGTGCGTCAGCTGGACAACGACATGGACGGGAAAATAAAAAACGACAAGAGGGCAGAGTGGTATACATATTCTGGGCAAAGAACGAGACAACTTAGGAGATTCACTCCGAGTATGGAGGACGTTACTTCAATGGTCGAGGAAAAAGTGAATGAGCTTATCAGGGCAAGATGGGCGAGGGAGCATCCTAATGCTTCTGCCCTTTCCTCTGCTTCAACCTCTGCCGGCGATGAGAAAGGGAAGGAGCAAACGCTACCATTGGAAGCAGGAAGAAGAGAGAATGAGTCGCCGTATCCGTGGTCAACCAATGCAGCTTTTGTGAACTGCTATGCTGGTGGTAACGAGGTGGTTGGCTGGCATGCGGATCAGCTTACATATCTTGGTCCAATGTGTACTATCGCAAGCATTAGCTTAGGAGTTGGTCGGGAATTCGGATTGAAGAAAGAGAGTGATCCTGACAGCGGGGTCATAAAAATCTGGCTTCCGCATAATAGCTTATTGGTTATGGAAGCGGGAACTCAGGAGGAGTGGAAACATTGGTTCGTCTCACTAAAAGCGTACATCAAACTTTATTTCCATACACAGCACTCTTTCTAGAAGTATCTAGCAGGCTAACCGCCTCTACATATTTAGTATCTACCCCGCGTGCGCCATCACTCGTCATCCAATTAGCGGATCAAAGCGGATAAATATCACTTACCGATGTTACCGGGAATCGCTCTTGCCGAAGTATACCCCTCATTGTAGGTGCCCTCTCCCTGGAATACTCCGGGCGGTGATGGACTGCAAAAGTGAAAATTTTGGACGGTATTTTTGGAGCTGCCAAGGGGCGTATCTGGGCAAAGGGGAGAATAGAGAGGGATGCGGATGGTTTGAATGGGCTGAGTGGGCAGAAGATGGGGAGCTTAAAGGTTGGAGAGAATGTCTGGAGCGGGAAAGAAATTGCTGAACAAGTCGGTATTCGCTTGGGAGTCTTTTTGGGGTTCACATGCTGAACGTGATAATTCAGGGCTTCGGATCTTGCGGGAATTCGCAAGCGACGGATACACATGCTTCAGGGTTGACGAACCCTTCTCAACGAATCCAGTGGGGAGATTTTATAGTCATTTTGCCTACAAAGGTGCTTCTTCGGTGTTGCGTTACCGAAATCTAATAATGATACTAATGAAAAGGCACCTGCTCACAAAGGACTATAAAGCCCGTCTTGATGCCCATTGATCTAATACGAGTCCCAAGCCATCTCCCGAAGCATTTACCACTCATTAAGATGAAGGTCCTTTTCGCTTTCTTGCTCGTACTCGTACTCCCGCTCGTCCTGGCTGCTCCTGTTGCCACTGAGAGCGGGGCCGTTGCCGTCCCAGTTACCTCCACTGGCGCAAATGAGAACAAAATCAAAGGCACAATCGGCTCTCCTGCCGACAGCTTTTCTGAGGGTAGTGAAAGAAAGGCTGAATACCGCCATGGGGACACGGTCTACCCGTCGAAGGAAGCCATGATCCAAGCGATCCGTTCTAAGAACGCGCAGCCTCTCGATGGACAGTATGCTTACCCAGGCTACGGTGCCTCTGCATATGATTACTACGGCACATACCCACAATATGGATACCCATACTCTGCATACGATGCCTACGCGGTGGACCCGTATGCCGCCTCATATGCCTACGACTACACATACTCTGCAGCGGCGCAGGAGGCCGCGCGGGAGCAGGCTGCATACGAGCAGGCGCTCAAGGATTGGCAATACAAGAAGTACCTCTACGACAATAACCAGACCCACTTACGCCCTGACCTCTTCCCGGAGATATACCAGAAGCAGCACCAGCAGCAACAACCCGAGCAGCAAGTGCAGAAGGAGGAGAAGGAGGCTGTTAAGACTACTGTGGCTGAGAAGAAGCTGGCTGCAATGTCAGGTCACCATGAGAAGCCCAAAAAGCAACAACAACACCACTCCCCTGAGCAGAAACAGCACCACTACCATGAGCAGCCACAACAGCAGATCGAGCGAGCGCAGCGCCAGGAGGATTACTCCGGCCATGCCTATCCATCTCCACAACCCCTCCCCCATACCACCTACGAGCACATATTCCAAGCCCAGCCCGAGCATAAGGTCGAGCAGGCCCATAACAAGAAGTACCACCATCAGGCTACCCCGGCTTTCAAGCTCGAGGAATTCCCCGAGGCATACAACAGCCCCAACAGCCACTACCAAAACACCAAGCAAGCCCAAGCTCGGCCTCAAAATGAACCTAACTACTACCCCGCTGAGCAATCTTACTATCCTAAGACTGCTGACAAGGTCGTTCCGCTCCCCCCGATCAGGGCTGAGCGTATCGAGGCAGAAGTCTACGGTGAAGTCCCTACTCCCGCTCAATATCACCATTACCAGCATCAGCCTGTTTCCTATGGTCATCCTCAAGAGCAAGAGGCTCAGGTGATCGAGCAGCCCCAGGCCCATCCTCAGCAGAATTACAACTACCAGCCTCAACAACCCGTTCATCACTACCAGCAACCCTCCAAGCAGCATCAACAGTACCAGGCTCCTCAGTCGCAACAATATCAGCAGCCTCATCACAAATCAAATAAGCAAGCTTATTCCGCTCCTGCTCAGCACCCCCAAACCTACCATCAACCACAACAACAAACCCAAGCGCAAGCTCCTCGTCTTCAACAATCTCAATCTGCCCCCGCCTCCGCTGCTGACTACCAAAACCCCGGGTCTCACAACAACGCCCGTCACAACCAAGTCGCCGCCTCCGAGAATACCAACAAGCCTACCTATGAAATCTTCAACCGGGACACTATGGGCAAGCGCATCTTAGGCCGCCAGGGACTCCTTGAGGACGCAGATGCCGAGTGGGTTTTTTGCCCCAACTCCTTACGCCGGAACCGCGGTCCATGATGAAGTTGAGGTGAACGCCGTGGATGTCAAGGATGAGAATAAGCAGACAATCGTAGCAGCGGGAACGGATACGGAGACAGTAGCAAAGGTGGAAACGGTGTTGGCGGTGGAGCAGGGTAGTCCTGTGAGCAGCACTGCTAACCGGACGCTCCTATCTCTCGACTAAGCTCAGCTGAATGCTTCTGCCTAGCCTAGTTGAGACTTGAGGAGGGCAGGGGGAGTATGAAGCGGAGGAAGAGAACACATCGCATTTAGCATCTTGTCTTGTAGTCGGCACGTAGCATCCATTGTCTCCTCACAATTGACTCACGACACTGCCGACAACTCATTCAGCACCCGAGAAAAAAGCAAAACCCGAAATGAAATCGAACACCAACCAAAAAAATGAACCCAAAAACAATCAAGTTCGTGAGAGTGAGAGTAAACGAAGAGAAACCTGAAAAACCCAGCAAACAACACAAGGCAAAAAGCCATCAAGAAACGAAAAATCCCGTCAATTTTGAAGCCCCGTGACCCGTTTCCGTGAAGTATGCAGGGGTGATTGGGTGATTTGTCGAAGCGAGCACAAAAAGGAGAGACATAGAAAGCCCAGCAAAATTTTTCGTTCAGTTAAATAATGTTTAGTTATTAGTTTTTAATTACTACTATATATGGAGAAAGGAATGAGGGATTTGAGGCAGGAGTTTAATGGCAGAGAAGGGGAAAAGGGAAGTGATTTTAATGGACTTTTTTCTCCATCTTTCCACATTCGCCAACAAAAAAAGCAAACAATAAAAGTTAGCTCGTGCCAAGTTAAGAAATTCGGTCTGCTCTTGATGCTAGATGTCATGTGACCACTTTAGATTTCAAGAAGGGTTGAAATTTCAACTCACCCCCAAAAAGTGATTTGGTTAGGTAAGACTGCGGAAATTTCCGGCGTACCTAGAATGGAAAATGTTGACAAAGTCGATGATAGCGATTAGAAAATCATTCAGAATCTTTTGTATTCGTTACGAAAAGGAAAGGTACATACCACAGGCGCCGCGTTCGGATACCCGGTCAATGTTGACCCCACCGTGCCCCCCACCTTACACACCAAAGAACGATCAGCCTTATGTACTCAAATCAACTAGCGTAATCAATCTCTATTTTGGCACGGGTAAAAAGAATAAAAGAAACAAAAAAGAATGCGACTTTTGTGGATCGAACACAAGACCTTCAGATTTCAGTAGGACTGAAGTTATCAACCTTCAGTCTGACGCTCTCCCAACTGAGCTAAAGTCGCATTTGTTTAATTCACATTAAAACAAATTTATATTCTGGGATATTCATGTTCAGAACTCACAAGCCCGGTAGCGTAAATTAGCTGCATCAATGCACGGAGGAATTATGGGTTAACTGTGGCGTTGTATAAAATTTTTCCTGTAGCGTTGTCTATGTTTTCGGAGAATCGTAAGGCCGCTGCAAGGGGCATATCAGTCATGGGTCCTGTACGTACTCTAGATTATCTTCTTCAATTAATTAATTCATATTTTGACTGCGTACTGTGGCGGTGTACGCTGTTGCTGAAGGGGGTAGATGCCTGGATTAGGTTGTTGCTGAAAGAGGGTTGGGGTATGTGTTGTATCCTGTATATATGTAAGGAGGGGCAGGACGGAGGTTCTGCTACATCATACAAGAAAAGTTCTTAAGATTTCCGGCCTTGAGAGAAGGAATCCTCCCAGTACACGGGGGGTAACGAGCGGGTACCTTGGTATCTACATCACCTTAATTAGTGTGTAATTGGGCTTGACCGGGAGTGGCGGTGGCAAGCGGATAGTAGCTGCAGCGCTTTGCACCACTCTACCCGATAGGGTAAAATCCCCAATGCTTGGCATCAATGCAATGTTTATGGTGCCGGAAGTTAAGAGCGGACATTGCCAGCCCGCATTAGTAAGCGGCACCATATGTGTCAATTTGCTGGGTAAGAATTGTGAGCAATCGCACTTTCAGCCCCTGACGGTCGCTTACACGGTCGCAATCTACTGTGCACGTCGTTTACTAGCAAATGAGCGAGACTTCAGAAAGTAAAAGGGTAAGTTACAAGAAATGATTGAGGCACAGGGACATATTGAATTTTATAGAGCTATTTTGAGGTGCAGCAAAAAAATCTACTCATGAGAACTGTAAGTATTCTTTAGCAGGTTTACGAGAAACTATACCCAAGGCTCTTTTTTCTATTTCAGATATCTCTATTTGGTGTTATTATAATAAGTGCCTCCGTATTATGCAGGCATATAAAGATGGCCTTTGAAAATCATGTATATTAGAGCCACAGACGGGTGCGAGAGGGGGAGCCCCTTTGATGACTAATCCATTTTTTGTATGAGGCTTGGCATGTAACATCAGGTAGATTTCCTAACAAAGTAAAAAACTTTGAACCTTATCAGTTTTACAACGAATAAAGATTTCGCCATGAAAAAATCATAGAGTGATAGAGCGTCTCAAATACTATCGATTTTTGATATTTCTACCTTAATTCATGTCATGTTGTGGTTGTTGATAGGTTTTGCGTTGGGTTGGTTGTATCGCAATTTTCATGTCCGCTTTTAACTTCCGGCACCATACCACCTTCATAACGGACTGTGAACGTAACATTCTATAATCTTACTCAATGGAAGAGACAAACTTGGAAATTTTCCAAAATATTTTATTCTCACCATATATACAGAAGTCCTAAAATGCGTAGCAAATACTTAGATTCATGATAGTTTTCCATACGGTGATCGTCGCGATTTTGCCGATAGTCCAGTTCCTTGCCATAACTAGCTTATCAATCATAAATACCAGTAGCAGTACGTTTGCCTATATCATACTCGACTCTGGTCGCGCAGTGGTACATGATGGTACTTGTGCTGAGGCGTGTTCCTGAATGGATCGTGAATAAACCAGGAATTAGTCTATTGGCGAAAAAAAGATGTTCCCCGGCAGACTGCAGCACAGATTTCACCTGCAAATAGCCATTGTAGAATTCATTCATACACAGAATAGTATAATTATACTTACTCCTCTTTATCCGATCATTTATAGTTCCCACTTCAGATTTCGGGTGCATCAAGCAGTGCGACCAGGTAGAGTATACACAGGCAGGCTCGGAGCCGGAGCTCCATCGCTGGGCACTGACATGGTACAAACTGCACTTTGAGTGACGGCTATATACGTGCAAACCTCTCCAATGCATACTGGTAATTCTCGACCACCACCATCCACCTCCGGCGCTTACCCTACACCATCTTCTATCCCCACAATTCTCGCTCTGCATCAGACCTCCCCATCCCTTCTCCGAACCCCGCCCCAAACAAAGCAGAGTCGCTTTCTCCAAAACATCCGGCTTAATGAAGATTAGCCCTAGCAAAACTTAACTCCAAGCCTAGCAAAACAGGTATGAATTAATTCTGTATTCCAGCATTTACGGAATACTTCCCCTACGCTACTGAAGTACTCCTCCCGTCCTTGCCTGCGGGTACCGTCATAACCGGTATCCATGATCTGCATTCATATGAAAACGCACACCTACATAGGTAGCGTACGGCTCCTCTCCGTTCTTGGCCCTTTCCAAAGCGATTTTGAATACTGCTGTATCCGCAAACTGGGTGAATTGCGGCAGGTGACCAAGCTAACTTTATATTTCATCCTCACATGGTTCCCCGCTTTCCTACTCCTTACTCCTCTTCAAATATAGCTCCTCTAAATTTTACATACATATACCTTCGCCTCCCCACACTCTCCGCCCTGCGTGATCCAGTCACATCGTCTTTCCTTTTAGCCAACAGGCTCTACAAAATGCCCCTATAAGATTGCCATATAGAATACCATTGCATCATAATATTAAGCACCTCATTTCAAATCCAACGTCATGAACATTGACACTTTTTCTCATATACAATATATATTAGACTTCTTTTCCTCTTGAGCCCATCTGTCTCTACAAACTTGCCCCAGGTTGAAACGAAGAAATCACCTCAAAAAAACTCACTATAATGGAGAGCGGGGAACAAACATCAGAACTTTGCAAGCAATCGGAAAGATGAGACTTGAAGACAGAATGTTCATAGATATATGATCCTGGTATGTGTTTCCGGATTATATACAGGTACGCGACAGGTGTAAGTATGTAAATCGTTCAACAGGGATATGGAAAAATGGATAGAGGTTAGAGATTAGGGAAAAGGTTAGGTTGGGGTAAGAAAATTTCTTCTATATCATCAGGGTAACATACAACAATACCAATGACGCCGTCGCAAGTGAGGAGGAAAAAAAAAAAAAAAAAAAAAAAAAAAAAAAAAAAGCCTGAAGCACATCAGCAATGAAGCTAAGTAAGGAGAGCGGCACCTGGAGGATGATATCCGTAATGCTTCTTTTACTTGTTCTTTGGCTTTCGCCCATAAACAAACCATCTAATGCACCAACTGTCAGTCACACACATATCCAACAGCAACGCGCATAACCCCTCCCCCTCTCCCCGTTCCGCTCAGCAATCCTGGAAAGAGCAAAAACTAACCCTTGAAAATAATATTTCCCCACATCCGAATTCTTTGGCGGAGCCGTAAGCGATTTATGCGCCTTCTGACAAAGCTCCTTGACCTCTTCGACCGTCCACCCTTTCTTGGTCAAAATATGCACGCCGAACGGATACAAACTATCCAAAACCCCCTGTCTCGCAAAACGTCCAATCTGCTTCAACCTCTTATCCTTTGGCCAGTCTCCTACCGGCCATACCGCAGTCTGAACCCTCACGTCCTCGAATCCAGCCTCTTTAATGAGCTCCTCCATTTTGCGCGCCATGACGAGGGGGGTACCCAGCTCTTCGGAGACGGTAATGACGTGGTGGAGATAGGTTGATAAGGGGTGCTCATCGTCCACGCCGACGAGTTTGGTGCCGTCGGTTTTGAAGGCTTCGGAGCCGTAGTCTTGGTATTCGAAGTAACCGCCCGGTACCGTGGTTCTTCGTTCATTCGTAAAATTCGTTTCATCAGCAATACTATGCACATGCACGAGGAAAGAGTACAGCAGCGCGGAAGAGAGTTATAAGCTTAGGACTCACCGGTAAACCTGTTTCAGCACCAAGGGCCAATCCCTGAACGAGCCGCTCATGGACCGCATATGGATGTAGTCAAAGTAATTGTCCTTGTACGTCCACACCCCCTCAAGATCGTCAACCTCGAATTTGCAATTAGGCGGCACCCTGTCGTAGCCGAATCATTTCTCCCTCAGTTATTGCTGCCAACATATACATATTTCCATGCGCTCGATTGTATAGGCATGCATACCAGTTTGGTTGAATAGGGCTCAGATCCGGACCGATAACCTCCACTTGCGGAAACTCACTGCACTCAACTAAATCAGCTCAATGCAACTCCTCACCGCATCTTGCGTTCCAAACGCCATTGATTTACGAGAATAAATAATAATACGTACTCCGCAAAATCGATCGCCCAGATCCCCGTTCCGGTACCCACATCCAGTACCCGATGTAACTCTATCGCGTGCAACGGCGCCGTATACAACTTTCCTCCCAGTAAACTCAAAAATATATGGTGGAACAAATCCAACCGGTCCTGCTCCTGCTCGTCATTGGGCAAGAAATACTGCGCTTTGAACCGGTCCGAGTGATATCGGCGGCCGTTCGCATAAGTGAAACTGAAGACGCTGGAACTGAGAGAGGTGGTGGCGGTGCTTTCTCCACTACATGATTGAAGTTAGAATACGTCCGTACCATAGGATCCACTACTGTGGAAAGCATATTCCGGATTTTGCCGGGAAACTGACGACTCTACGTCCGATGTGGATCCTGAATGTGCCTCTTCCTACACATGCGGTGTCAGGACGGTCAGCATCTTATTTTAAACCTTGCAGTGACTGACGACAATCGAGGTGTTAATCCCGTAGCAGGGTTTATGTGGTCAGTGTAAACTCACATCCACTTCAATCGCCGTCGTCCCTCCACCCTGTCCCAGCGGCACAGCCGATTCCTGGACACCTTCCACATCTTCGAGTTCCACAATCTCCGTCGTCGGAATTGTAGCTTTCGCTGCTGCCGCTGTCGACATTTTCTTTCCTGCAAATGAACTTTGAATGTAAGTAACCCTGCAAGGTACAGGTAAGAGGATCTGGGATGTGATGCTTGTTTGGGTGTTTGCCGCTCAACCACACAAATTCGCAAACGCAAACATCGTCATGCGTACCTATATGGCAAGTCAAGCAATCAAAATTGTGTTGTTGTTCCCGACGAAACACGGAGTGCTC